GTCTACAAGATAAAATGTTTGCTAATATAGACCGGATAACTTATAACGATCTGGAGAAAGTTTTTTTGAAATGTGCCAACCGTAACGATCATTGCAAGCTTGGGTTGGCACTAATTATTGAAGGGGTATTTAATTCAAGAGATCGAAATGTAGGAATAAATTCGACAACTCTTTCCATCGTTGACGACTTGGATTTTTTCAATGCCTACCCATGGGGGACAGTATGTTTTCAACTTCTCATCAAATCACTACTACGTGGATGGGGAAGAAAGGCGGACATGGTAAAAGTGAATGATTGTGATAGGATGACTTACACATTGTACGGATTCCCTCTTGCTGTCCAGGTATGCATCTATTTTGGTTCATTTCAGTTCTTCTCATCGCTCATTGTTATTTATCTTCAAATATGGTTATTACTGTTACAAATGTCATGCAGATTTGGACATACGAGGCAATTCCGGAGTTGGGAGCTCGATTCTCGAGTAAGACTTGTGACGATGTCCCGAGGATGTTGCGGTGGTCTGACATGAAACAACCTCATTCCCGAACATATTCAGATTTTTTTGAGAAGACAAATGTAGGCGATTTACATACTTAATTGCCTTACACTCCGCAATATATATTTTTTCATTTCGCCTATTTTTCTTCTCCTGTACGTGCACTTGTGGGCTACGCTGCGAGCAACTGCTGCAGAAGAATTACAGCCGTACTTCGTCGATCTAGTTCCGTTGGAAGACGCAGCCGACCCCATTTTAGATGATCTTGTTGCTCAATCAATAGAAATACAAGCTTGTCCAGTTGACGATGATGTCATACGGAACGATGACAACAACCATCGACCAAATAAATCCCAGAGAGGCAACAAAGGTGGACCTCGTCATCGAGGTTTGCATCTGGTTGAAGGCAGAGAAGAAGAGTATGGGGATCCCATCGTTGAAAGACATGTGTCTTTAAATGAGATAAGAGTTATCTTGAATGAGCAACGGGAGACATTTGAGAGCAAGATGGGGGATTTGAGGAAAGAAATAAACACAAGATTCGCTAGTTCCAAAATGATCTGGGAGGTCATGTGTGTGGTTTGAGAAATCATGTCACTGATGAGATGAATGTTCTTCGACGAAGGTTTGATGAAGTTGCTACAGAAATTGGACAACACAATGTTGGTGCTGAGTATGGTGGATTTGGTCATGACGATCGCAGTAGAGACGAGTCCTGACATGATGTTTTCACTCCCAATATTTTTGCAGACAGACAGGATGTCGGAGAGGCAACCGAACCAGTTGTTTGCAATATCCCTGATGTGTCCATAGCGTCAGGAGGTGGGGTTGGAGTACCTGGGTCAGTATATGTTGCTTGTGATAATGTGAAAGAGGCACCAGCCGTTGTACCTACAGTTGGTGTGAGCATTGATGATCAACTGGTTCATGATAGCATCGTTTTTGGACCTTCGATGGCAGCTGATCCACCTACACGTAGACCTCGATCGTTGAGGCTGAAGAAGGCTAGTGTAAACACAAAGACGCCATACACACGATCTGGTCGCAAGAGGGGTAAGAGGGATGCGTAGAATTTAGAGGTTTACCTATTTTGATTTATATGGTGGTTTTTCAATATGTATTTTGGTTTATGTCGTGGTACGGAAAATGTATTTTGGTTTAGACAGTGGTTTGCATATTTTTGTTTATATGGTGGTATGTAATATTTTGTGGATGTAAACCGGTGGTTGAAAATAGTTTATAACTTTATTATCTCATATAGTGGAGTAGGAGATGTCAATGTTCTAATGAAATGTGGAGAAATCCTATTGTCGTTCTATACAAATGTAATGTAAGTGTCCAGATTAGCAGACATTTAATGTCGAGAACTACACGTCAAATGTCAAGAAATGAGTGAAATGTCAAGAAATATATTGTTTCAATATAAATGTTAACATCCCTTATATTTTTGTTTTCAATAATATGTGAACATATGTGTCATTTTGTGTGATCATGCATGTGGAAATAAAATAAACTTCGTGCTACTTAGCAGTTAGTGAGGAAAAATTGATTAACTCGATCAGTTTTAATAAATTAAAGAAATTTATCGAACATTTTTTTTTCAATATAAAATTTGAATTGTACAAAACGTTAATATATATTTTTTTTGTGAATATAAAATTTTAATGGAACAAAA